TAAGTGCTCCTTATATACGTGGCTAAGCTAATGAGTCGGCTGGGCTTCGGGCCTTTTCCGAGGTGGGCCATTTACGAGGTCTACCTCCGAAAATAGAGGTATTTTTGGAGGCGAAGCCCGCTTCTGTTAATAGATTTTAGGAATAACTGTCTCCGTAAATCGATTTTGCGAGGTGGTTGATTGTAACCGCCTCGGTTAATAAAAAATGACCGCCTCAGTTAATCCCAGGCATTAACCGAGGCGGTTTAAAAGCCCACCCGCCTGCGTGGCCAATTTCAAAACGCCTCGCAAAAGATTTTGTGTAGTAGTGAATGCATTGTGTTGTTTGGAGAGAAAACACACCTATTTGTATTAGTGAAAACTGGATTGTAATCTTAGTATTGATTAATGAAGCACACCCTTTCTCTCAAAAAAATACATGCGTGGTATAATGTTATATAACTAATACGTTTATATACAAATACACGCTTATATATATATGCACATATTTTGATACATATGTATATACAAACATAATGTATATGTGCTCAAATTCAGGGGTGGATCCAGGGCCCGGGCTGCCCGGGCTGCAGCTCGGGCCGAGTCCATGTAGCCCCTTTAACATATGTGGTGTTTAGCCTAAAAAACTATAATCTTAATTAGACAAAAGGAGGCTTAGGAAGCAAGATCAGACTGTTTTGAACGTGAATCAACAGCTCAGCCCGGGGCGCAGCCCCGTTCTAGATCCGCCCCTGCTCAAATTAATAATAAATTATATATTAGCCCACAGTCGTGGACCAGATTAATTTGGGTTTATTAATGCATTAATTACATTTATGGTCCAGGATACTGGAAACGTCCTCCGTGCATTCATGGATTTTGGATGCGTGGATCGGCTGTTGACGAGGATGTAGTCTACTAGTGTCCCTGTATCTGGTTTGTCAGATCAATCATAGGTTCATAGTTAGCTTTAGGTACAGGGCATGCTTACGCCCCTGATGCCACTGTTTATGCTGATTTGTTGTGAGAGAAAAATATTATTATTTCGCTTAACGGTACTACTGCTGATGTAGTGCTAGGCGTTACTCTCCATGAAAAAATATATTATATTTCAAGAAGTAAAAAATACCAATCTTATACTCTTATAAAGCAAAACATCACCAGCTATTTCTCTCGACATGCAAGCTATCCAACTAAACAATGCACTATCATATACAATTAACATCCACTAAGCAAAACTCCACTAGCTATTTATCTCAACATGCACTATCACATACAATTAAAATCCACTAGCACATGCAACTGTAATGTATGTCAGCAAGACACATAAGTATTTTATTGTTCACGCCATCGTACTATACAATCCACTGATCCGCAATTCCCGCAGCAACGCGTGGGGTAGTCCACTGATATCTATAACACTGAACAAATATTATTAAATTAACTATGAAATATACTTTGACGGTAAAATTATATAAAAGTATAAATGTTTACTTTTTTATAAATTTGGTTAAACTAAATAAAGTGTAAATTATTACGAACCTTTTTGAACAGAGGGGGTGCTATCTTTTCTGAAGCGTCAGTGGTCGAGTCCTATGACTAAAGCACGGCGATGCATGCAGTGAAGGCGGCCTATGGCTGAATTGCCTTCGTCGTCGGGATTTATTTATAGTAACCTAACAATAGCGAAAGCACAAAGAAAGCAGGACACCTATATATAGCCTAGCAGGCTACAGCGACCTGTGTGTACGTCTGTCTGGCCGCCGAGAAGGTTAGCTCGAGAACCCGGATACATGGTTAATTTCAAACAACCCACAAAATTAAGTTTACATATGAGTTTGTGGACTAGTCCACTTATATCCCTATAGCAGTCCATGTTTAATTCTCACAAAAGCAGTATCAGCTCTGCTTGCACCTCTAATTATAATAACTAAACAAGATGAACGTTATTCTTAATTCATAAAATTGTGTTTGGCTTTGAATTGTCCAAGATGTTTAAGGCTATATATATAGTAGATGTTTAGGGTCCCAATCTTAAATAGCATCCAATAAATTCGAATTGACATGCCAAAAATGAAATAAAAGTCATGGGCTCTAGAACTTGCTTAGGTCATATCATCAATATTGTCCATTACATCGGCGGTTATGACTTCGTCGCAAATATGTGTGCCACATTTTTGCTTGTCACTCATTTTCAAGCTAACCAACCAGTGCCACAATTGTGGTTTGACAAATTAAACCTTTTGATCCCTCCTGCTTGCTACATTTTATGGCAAAATATATTTAACAGTCATGTAGCCCATGCGTGTGTGTGTGTGTGTGTGTGTGTGTGTGTGTGTGTGTGTGTGTATATATATATATATATATATATATATATATATATATATATATATATATATATATATATATATATATATATATATATATATATATATTCTACTTAGGTCTTGTTTGAATTGATTAAAATAAGTTGCTACCTATATTAAAAAGCTCTAGCTAATTCAAGCTGTCCAGCTAGTACATTTTGAACTATTCAACCACATAGCTCATAAAAACCTGCTAGCAGTCTCACTCCAACTATTGTATCTTAAAAAAATAGCTAATCTAAATGGGTCCTTAGTATTCATAACAAAGCCTGTCTCGAGCTGGGAAATCCATTGTTATATAAGGACATTTCAGCATAAATCAACAAACATGCATGGACCCGAATTTGTGCCCAAAGATGCATCCCTAGCTCCCCTGAGCTCCCGCTCTCCAGGGATGTATGTGGCATGGTCTATACAGTCCATCTTTTATCACCTCCAACTTCCCACATGAGAATACATCACCTGATTTGAATTATAAATACTCTCTCCATCCAATTTGATCATCATTTTTTGAGCAAAAAGAAGAAATTCCAGGTTTGGTCTACATATAACGTTGTTCGCAGAAGATTTTGATGCCACGGCAATCTCCCGGTCAATAAACCCGTCGTGGATCCACCCATATTCAACCCGCCATCTTGCACAGCCTCCATTATCTAAAGCAACGATGAAAATCATGCCCACTTTATTCTACATGGTCGTTTCATTTAGGTTGATCAAAATTGGATGGAGCCATGGAGGAAGTTATTAATGTGTTGAAAAGAATAATTTGCATTTGAATTCAAAATTGGAATTTTAGCTCAACGTCACAATTAATTTCATATTTCCAAACTTGAACTGAGATTTACAAATGATGCCAAATGAAGGATATTTTTCTTCACTAAAAACTATTGGAAGATATTTTTCTTCACTAAAATCTTTATTTCTATCAATATAGAAGAATATAAAGAGACTATTGGAATTGCTCTTACGGATCTTGAATGAGCGACTTGTTTATCTAATCATAGGACAAATACAAATGCTCAAAAGCACGTATGCACCTCACCCATACGAGCACACATACGTGCACCCTATCTCTATATGAGCATCTCCAAAAGTCTAAGCCAGTAGATCTCAAGATTGATGAAGCCACCACAGACGCCTTACCGTGGATGGACACGTCATCTAGCTACCACTAGAAGAATATATACATTGTTAAAACCTTGAATAAATCTAGAAAAATATGAGCACACATACCAAGTCGAGAACTTTAACTCTATGGGATATCTATAAGAGAAAGATACACCAAAGAGGAAGAACAAAGGGTTGTTTTAGTTTGCCCTAAACAACAAACATGTTGAGGTCTAGGGCCTTCTATTGGGATCAGATAACCTCAATAAAATTCTATAATTCCTTAACGAAACATAGTCCATCCCTAATTAAGTTTGATCCATCGTTTATAGAGTTGGTCTCGATGCCATTTTTTGTTAGATTGGATCCTAACATGAAAAATATGACGACTTCTAGTCAAGTAGCCCCATAGATTCGTCTTATATAGGTCATTGTTGGTAAATAAAGGTCGCATCAAGTGGGAGGATGGATAATTTTCTACGGTTTTCATTGTGTATCTAGTAGCATCAACCTTGTGTTTGAAGAGTATTTGGTTTTTAGTAAATTTTTGACTTAGGATAAACTAAAGGTTCTATTTGGATTCATAAAGATTTTAGAAATTAGTTTCTAGAATCTAGGTAGGAACCTTTTAAATACCATATCTTATAGCCAGCTTCTGGGATCTAGAGACCTCAAGATTCCATAATCTGGTAAGCTAAGGGAACCAAACTTCTTCTAGCTTCTAGACATTAATTAAAAGACTATATTGCCCCTCTCTTTCTCCTATAGTAAAAATCAAAGAATGAGGGCACTATAGTAATTTTACACTAAAAATTGTATATCTTAGTTTTACCATCCATGGATCGTCAAACAGCCTCAAAACTCCGATTCTATAACCAAATTTGTAACAATCTAGCTTTTAGAAGTCAGCTTCTACAGTACATGGGGTATCCAGTTATAATTGTGAACCAAAGCATATTCATTATTAGCTAGACGATAAAGTTGTGCATGCAAAAAAAACTTTCTGTAGTATATACAATCATAACCAAATTGAAGCACGGGCGACGTCAGGACCAACACCTACACCATCACGAAAAGAAAAGAAAACGGGGGGACCCCATGTGGTATGATAAAAGCCAATGCTGAAACAGAGAGGTTACTGACCAATCACACGGTTTTTTTATTTAATCAACCACATAATTTAATTCAACACCTCTCATTTATATATTTGTATTCTATCTCTCTCTATATATTCCATTATACAGATGTCTCGTCACCCCGAAATCACCGTCACCATATGCACTCTACATGTCGACCGACCGCACCGAAACACGCAACGCAAGCCCGGTAAACCAATCCGAAAGAAGACGAAATTGAATTTACAAAAAAACAGAAGCTCATCAATGCAAACATGCATGAGCTATCATCAATCAATCGTAGCTAGGCACGTACGAGCACATGCACACGTATAAAGTGTATGTGTAATTGTGTCTGTGTTGGAGTTGGAATTGGCCGCCGTCCGCCGATTAATTAATTGCTCGCCGCCGAGCGCGTTGGGCAGACGATGGATCAATTCAAGCACCAACTGCTGCCGCTGAGCGCGTTGGCGTCCACGAACTGCACGGCGTCCTTGCTGTCGCTGTAGATGCTCTGTCCCGCCTGGCCGCCGTAGCCGTCGAACAAGTAGTCGGACCACTTGAGCTCGTCCAGCGCCGCGCCGTAGTGGTCCACTACGGCGGCGGAGGCGGCGCCGCCGTAGCCGCTCGTGCCCAGCTCCAGCCACGGCAGGTGGTGGTTGCTGTGGCTGTGCGGCGTCGTCGACATCAGCTCGAACGCGTTGTTGCAGCTGCTACAGTTGTTGTTGCACTGTTCGTCGGTGGTGGTGGTGGTGGCCGCGGGGCTTAGGCCAGCCATCGAGTTCAGCGTGCTGGAGCTCGACACCGACGGGAGAACGACCGCCGGGACACCGGAGGGGCTGCAGTGCAGCGCGTCGGCGGCTGCTGGGTCCTCCTGCTGCAGGTACGACCCCGCGGCGGCTGCGGCACCCAAGTGATCTGCAGCTGTTTGCTTGCTGCTGTTGTTGTACTCCGACAGCGACTGCAGGGAGCCGTCGCTCGCGCCGCCGCCGCCACTGCTGTGGCTGTAGCTGTACACATAGCTCTCCGCCGCTGCCGTTGTAGGAGGCGGCGGCATGTGCTGCCCTGCGGCCGTCGTCGTCGACGACAGGATGAGCTCGGCGTCCCTGAACACTGCCGTGCGGCTGCTGCCCGCGCCGGGAGCGCCACCCCTGCTGACCTCGGCGGCCAGCGGGAGCGGCTTGTGCGTGGCCGGGTCGATCCCGCGCTGCCGGAGCTTCTTCTTGATGTACGAGTTCCAGAAGTTCTTGACCTCGTTGTCCGTCCGCCCCGGCAGCTGCCCTGCAATCTGAGACCACCTGTGTTGTTCGTGCAAAACAAATCATTTTAATTATTCCCGGTTGGCCGATCATTCATTCATCAGCAGCAGCTAAATGTAATCAAATTGGCGATCTCTGCTTCTGCTAATGATGTGTGTGTGCATGGCCTGCCACTGCCACCTACTTGTTGCCCATCATGGAGTGGAGATGGATGATGAGGTCCTCCTCTTCCTGCGAGAATGCTCCCCTCTTGAGGCCCGGCCTCAGGTAGTTGATCCACCTCAGCCTGCAGCTCTTCCCACACCTCTCTAGACCTAATACATAATATGCAAACATCACAAACGATCGAATTTCAATCAATTCAACTAGCTAGCAAACAATGCATCTTCACATTTTTTTTTACAAAAAAACAAATTGGACACAATTCAATTCAAGTAACATTCATAGGCATTGCTTTATATGAGAGGAACCGAATTAACAAATTCTAATTAAGGTGTCTACATGGTAATATATATACTACTGTAGCTAGCTAGCACTCACTATACCTGCTAGCTTGGGGACGGAGCTCCAGCAGCCGTGGCCATACTTGGCAATGTGGTTGATGAGCTTGTCATCCTCCTCCGGCGACCAGAGGCCCCTCCTCAGCTTCTTCTTGGGGGCGCACGTCCGCCTCGCCATGCCGCGCGCCCGAGCTAGCTAGCTAGCAAGCTACCGTGCAAATGGTCGGAGCTCTGCTAGCCAGTTACCTAAATGGCGTTGCTGTGCAGCCGTTGCTTGCAGCAGCCTGCCGGGAAGACGACAGTGAGGAGAGGGAGAGGATGGGATCGAAGAAGGTGGGGTATAAAAGGGAGGGGCGGGCGGGCGGGAGGTCGCTCTCAAGTAGGTGCCTGCACTGCGTACTGAAGCGAGTGTGATCAGTGTACTCTCTCTCGCTCAATCCACCCCTCTCTGTCTTCGTTCCTCCTCTCGACGTTCCCCTTCACTTTTCAGCTCGATTGATCTCCTTCAATTTCTCTCTCCTCAAACCCTTTTGCACCTTCTCTCCCAGCGAGAAAGGTTGTCGTGATTCGTGAATGATGCGCCAAAAAGGCTATAACATTTTCTAGAAAGACTTCTCTCCAAGACTGAAAATTAGGACTATGTAATAATAACTTTCGATCGCCCTTATATGCTGATCGATCAGGTATATATAGTATGTCCTGAACTCAAGGTAGCTAGGTTTGTCGTTCGTGGTAGAAACTATATATTCACGTTAAAAGTCATGTACGTGCACTTGGTAGGGTATCATAAACAACATTCCATTTAGAGCTAGTGTGATCGGTTACTTACATTAGCCATAGTTATTAGACCTTGTGCTGACACAATTTAAGTCAGCATAAACATTTGCAATATCTTGGAGTTTGGTACCTGCATAGGCAAGCTATATGTTGATGAGATCGTGTTTGATTGTTTATATTATGTTGCATTTGGAGACGTCGGCATTGCATTTTTTTAGTTCCAATGGGTGGTTGTCATCTAGGTTTATTGGTCTATAGTAGTCAGGATCTACTTCACGCTTTGTTATCCTCGAGTCTGGTTGTAGACTCGTTTTGGTTCTTGTGCGTCGGCCGTCGGCCCAAACTTTTTAATAATTGGCCTGATTCTATCCTGGTGTAGATGAAGCTGGATATAAACTATCATTTATCTAAAAAAAAGTAGAGGTCCACTGTTCTAATAGAAGGGGTGGGGGTTGTGGTGGTTTGAGGAGATTCCATTTTTGTGTACCCCACAACTTTTATAAATCTGCATTACCAAATACGACCACATCTAGCATATTATTAGCTAATGCTGCAATATGCCTACTTTATTTGAGCATTGTGCAAGCCTGCATAAGAGCTCTACATGCTTACCAACATAGGTAAGTTGCACTATATAAGTAACCAAATAATCCAGGGCCTTAGTGATAGGCGGAGTGTTCATTTGGAGTGAAAGTGAATTGCTTGTGGCGTATTCATTTTTACTTCGAAATGATACCAGAATATATTTTTTTTTGCCATAATAATATTATTAGAACAAGAAAATTGACCCAGTTTATAAGGGGAACTACGCCAACAAAATGATATAGCTAGGAGGTAATAATCACCCCACCAACAACTAACACAAACTCACCAAGGATTGCAGCACTGAGCACAATTAAACAAAAACAAATGGCTTAGAATGCACACCACACCAACAGTTGCAATAAACTAGGGGATTGCGCCACACTTCTCCCAATTCAGCTTCGGTGTAATGACCAATCCATATTATCACTGAACACAACTCAAAACATAACTTTGTAGAAGCTCAACAACAACTAATAAACAACCCACTAACTATATCACGATTTAGATGGCATTCGTTGTAGGTCATCATTGCCTGGCTCACATATGTGGTAGATGTAACTTCTTATGAGCAACCCAAAGCATAAATGAGCCACACTCCTTCTGACCTCGGCACTCTAGACCAAATGACACCAAGGTGACACCCTAGGGGATAGCAACATCAAGACACCATCGCCACTAGAACCAGTAGGCCAGTCGTATGGTTTTCACATGTAGATGTGTCTCTAGGGTCATGTCCTCACAACAACTCCTAAAAATGGGGAACGATGCACCAAAACATTATAGCACCACCATCTTCAACAATAGTGAAAGACCACGTAGAGCTTTCACCCAGATACCACATCACCTCTGAGCCTGTGAGCAACAGATGACAAACATAGCATGCGGAGAAGTCAAGAACCAAGGATCCCACGATCCACTAAGGGACCACCACTAGCATCAGCAACAAAGGTCTTGCCACCGACACGTTGGATCCATGATCGTCCCTTGTAGATCTAGCAAATTGTACATGTCTACAAACTTCAACCACCAGAATATGACCCTATCCGCCACCGATTGGCGCACGATGGTACCTCCCACACCCCATGTTGTTGCCACCTTGTCAAGCGAGCTCCACCCGATGCAGGCACAACCACGGCATTTTGGGCTCCATATGTGGTGACCTCCATGTATGACACCGAAGTTGGTTGAAGTCGTAGCCCACACAAATCGTAGCCTGTTGCACCTAGTCCTCCCATGCAAAATCTAGATCTAGGAAAGCCAAGGTATTGGATTGGAAGAGAGAGAGGGGGGAGCAAGTGTGGCAGATCTTGCATGTGTATTGATCAGGCTGCATGTTTTGGAGCGTATTGCGATGAAGGCCTAGCATGTGCCAGAGGCGAAGCCCGGGCAGGCACCTAGGATCACCGAGCTGTGCGTCGGATTTGGCACTAGCGAGGAGGGAAAGGACAATATTGTGGAGAAAAGCGAAGGGGGGAGAAAAAATCTCTAAATGTGTGTGGTCTCCCGTGCGACGCCAACAGGATATCTTGATTCTACAAGGCTTGATTAATTGGCTCTGCGAATACGCGAGGCGAGTTTGTACCGGATGAACGGACCAGTCGGAAAGAGCATCATGCCACGCGGACGACATCTAGTCCGTGTTGCTCAGGAGGCGTTATGCATCACATCAGGCATGGGGAGAATTTCCTTTCCAGGAGGGAGCCAATGCAATAGTGACAACGGCCAACTATTCGCAAATGGTTTTTGGGTCCAACTACGCATAGAGGTAGCGTGCATGTTTATAAAGATTATGTGTGTACGTGAGCATGTGGTTGTGTGTCTACTGCGTTTCTTCTTCAAAACGTATACACTATTCTTTAACTATCCACCGGGTTGTGTCGTCCTTGGTAGGGCAGGCGGAGTCTCCTTTCTGCCCCCCACTACTCCGCCTGCACTTTCTCCTGCCGAATTATTCTCAGCTTGACACCGACCATCTATCGATTGCCCAGCCCAGCTGCTACTCAAGTGCATGCATGGACCTGTGCCTGGACTTTGCACAGCTAGCTCGACGACGATCCGCCCGGCCGGCCGCTTTGCGTTAACATCACTTCATGACATCACCAGTTATTTGCAGTGCAAGCAAGCCGAAGCTAGCAGCCACCGTGGCAACACATGCATGGGCATCTATCCGCGCGCATTACTGCCATTGCTGTCTGGGATTCATTGCGATTAATTAGAGCAGAATCTAGGCAGTTATAATGGCCATGGTGGGCTAGCACCTTGCAGGGGAAGCCAGGTAGGGTCGGCAGGCAGGCACGATTATTAGGGTTGATGCCATATGCGGATTTGGAGACATCACAGCGCAGCGCGGTGTGTGTGGATCGGAAGAGACGACAAATCAGTGGTAACCACATGTTGATGCTGTGAACGAACGAGACGGCCTCTTTTTTTTTTAATGCCCTTTTCGAGCCTGCTGGCAGTGTTTGGAGTATACATGCAGCAAGCTCATCTGGTTTTTCTAATATTTAGTGATTGTTAATGTGTACGGAGAGTGTGTGATCTCTCCTTCGCCACACACACAGGGGAGGGTGCGGCCACAAAAGCACAAGGCTGGCGATTCCGTGCTGGCTCGGATGATCTCTGAATGGAACAGATCGTTTTCACTGGCAGGATTCGGGTCGCCACCCACAGCTTTTGTTACCTCAAGACAGGGCAGCATATGGAGTCGCACGTGTTCTTTTTAATTTATTAAACTATATATTTCCTTCTCCTCTCCACACCGACAGAATCATGCTCGGTATAAGCGTGTCAAGCGATATATATTTCCACGATATAAACACGCATCAAAAAATTGACAATTCAAGCACGCTTCCGTGCTCAAGCAAGACTCTATCCCGGCTTGCTGCGATTAAAGAGGCATCCTATCTTATATTACTATTATATTACTTGAAAACTCTAACGGGTCTACTTGAAAACTCTAATTAAGGATCGGAGCTTTTACGTGAATCCTTATTAGATACACGAGAAAAAAAATGATAAATTCTAAAAATTCTTTTAAAAATAAGAAAGAATTTGGCCATCAATTTGGTCGACTAATCAGCATGATCATATTAATAATAATATAATAATAGACATTGGATCTAATATGTTTTCTAAAAAGATACCTAAGGTCTGCCATTATGAAAAAACCACAAAAAGTAATCCTCTAAATTGCATCTAAATTACCACCTCGGTCATTATGAAACACAATCTAAAGTGATCCTCTATATATATAAGAGGATCACAGCCAATTGAGTATTCCAACTTTCAATCGTCAAAAACACAACACGTACCCTCTTTTACCCTACTTTCTCACTACCTTGGTATTCGTCACATCTCTCGGCGAGATTTGACGGCGTTCTAGGCGGCCTAGCCGACCCTATGACACTCTCCACGTGCTCCTCCCGACATGTTTTCTCAGGAGGTGTTTGGGAGTCTACCATGTGAAGAATGGGCTCAACATCGACCTAACCAGCCCCTCAATTGGTTTCGTCGATCCGCTGCGTTCTTGCTGCAATCTAGGTTCTTTGCAACCTCGAGCGTGGTAGCCCTTGCTGGCATGTGACTCAATCGATGCCAACGCAATGCACTTGGGCCAGCCAGCAATGTAATAAGGAAGTCACTAGTTTTTATTACCGTACTATCCATTGTTGGCAACGCTCCATATTAGGACTCTTTTTGGTGCTAACACAATTTTCTCTCTAACTTCACAAATAGCTAAAACGTACACTCCTGTAGCTACAATATGTACGTACGTGCATGCGTCAGACCGCGACGACCGCGTAATATATATATATA